TCTTTCTCTCTCTATTTATATAAAAAGTAGTGGTAAAATGTTATCCGAGTTGTCGTGTATTTCAAAACTATTATACTACGACAAGCAAAAAAAAAGAAAAAAAAATTAAGTCTCTCAAACACGAGTAAATTCTCATTAAGTCTCTAAACAAATTGTTATTTCGATTGGGTATCTAAATCATCCCCTTAGAGTTTCTTTGTATATAATTAAATTCAGTACTCCAATTCTCAATATATTTAATTGTCCTCAAATATAGGCTAATTCTCAATTAAGTTTATTGATGAATTTTTTTCTTAAATATCTAAGGATAGTGTCGATCTAATTTTTTATTGTCTTAGGAATACTAAAATAAAATATTCATTAATTACTAATAGTCCTTCGCATAAAATTCTACCATTAATTAACAAAATAGTTTTTAATAAGAATTTGGTTATTTAATTAGTTATGTATAGCCTATTGTGTTCGTTTCCGGCTTTACACACTTTCTTTGTATTCCTCTTGCTTCTTATTAATAACATTTTCTCATCTATAAAAACAATTATAAAATTCTTAAACGAACCCCAACAAAATTCAAGTCTTATCATTTAGTTCCTTACTATAAGTCGATTTGTTATATTGTGAAGACTGTTGTGGATAGAGACTCACGATAATACGTTATATATATATACATATGATATATATATATATATATATATATATATATATATATATATATATATATATATATATATAACATAATAGTCTCGTTAATTGTCCATATTATAAATAGAAGTAACATTACTTATATTTATAGTTGTCACTTGACAAAATCTAATAAGAAATTCTAGCTAGTGCGATCATGAATTAGGCATTATTATCAAATCACGTTTTATTATTATATGATTCTTCTCGCTTTTTTACTCTATTTTTTTGCTTGATTCATTTCTAACAAAGGCTTCAAGCAATAATGAGTTAATTGTTATATTAATTTAGAAAAGATAGTGCATGAATATGAACAAGTCACCATATGTTAATGTTGAATCCGCCATATCTTGAGGTTTCGTCCCGCACACTTCAATATTATAGATGTAAGTTCATATACGCTTATCGTGAACCAATTTGATATTGTTATATTGTACTCTCTCTCTCTCTCTCTCTCCCTCTCTCAAAAAGATATGTTTTTATGTTGTTTAAGAAATTTATTAATTATATGTTATATTAATATTTTTTTATTCATACTTTTAAAAAAATATTTTTTTGTTAATTTGTTAATTATCAAATTTAATTTTACATTACATAAAACCAATATTAATTTAAAGAGAAAAGCTATCTAAAATTAAAATGGTAAATAAAAAAATTAAGTTAATTACCAATCTAATTTAAAAAAATTGTGGAAAATAATATATTGATAAAAGTATTTTATGTAACAACCTCGACTTAAAACCTAAAGGAGGCCGAGAATGCTACTTGAAGTACCTCATATTTTAAGTAGAATGAATACAAGACACTAAGCCTCATGTCTTCTACTTAAAATATGCAACAAAAATTCACTTAATTAACATAATTTATTTATAGTTTAGGTCCATCTTTGCTTTTAATATATTAAAATTAAAAGACATTCCATTAATAAAAATCATAACTAGAAATTTAATTCATTTATTCATCAAAATATTTTTACACAAGACATATTCAACTATTTTAAAAGAAGTTTTGGTTAAACATTTTATAGAAATCATAAGAAAACATTTAATTTTTTCATTAAACATATTTATACTGAGCATATTAAATTACCAAATTAATTCCATTAATTATAAGTATACAAATTCGGATGATTAAATGTTAAATGAAACTTCAATTAAATACTTACATACATCAACTCCACATAATTTGTATCTTGCGATAACTAATATGATCTTTCACATACTAAATCAACAATTAAGGATATAGCCATTTAAACATAAACAATCAAGCAATTCATCAAAACTAATCTAATTGAACGTCTAACTTAACAATTTTAACACACCTAATAACAACACATCAATCAAACAAATCAATTTAATCTTGTGGTGTAGTTGAAACTACACTTACCTTATATGTGATTAGCCTTAATTATATCTTAAAAGATTGGAAACTCTCCCCTCCTCTCCTCCTTGAAACTTTCGGCTAAGTAACCTAAGTTTTTCTCTTTTCTTGTTTGGCTGAAGTCTTCTTTCCTCCTCTATAACTTTCGGCCTCTCTTGTATTCTCTCAATCAAATTAGTTTGTCTTAATGTCTTGGTATTTATCTAGCCTTTTATTTTTTGCCAAACCTCACATAGAAATTACTTCCACTATTTATAACAATCTTGCCGCCATTAGGAAGCGTTATGGAAGCTTGAAAATACATTTGCATTAAACAACTTGCTTGGTAAGTTTGCTAGAAGTTTTCTTTTTTAATTCTTAAGTTTGTATGGCTAATTTTGTGTTTAGTTAGTCTTGGTGTCCTTCCCTTATTTTTCTTCTCTTTTGCCGACTTGGTTAGATCGATTAGGCAAGATTTTGCCAAAATGGTTGGGCACTTTATATATATATATATATATATACACACTTTAAGACAGATCGAGGGAGTATTATATTTTGATTATTATGTTGGGATATAATATATTATGAGATAAAAATCGTGTTTGATAATTTGTTAATGTGCTTTATTATTATTATTATTATTTTTTGGTATTATTACTTAAAGGAAATAACTTTAAAAAACAGGGGATTCCATAATGAATTAATTTGCTTTTGGTTAAAATAAGTGATATCCTTTCTAAAAAACAAAGGGATTTTCTTACAAAAGTATAAGGTATGCGTAGTTTCAAAACAAAATAACTTCAATGAGATGCTTTATAATAATGCATAGAAGAACGTACGGGCTTTTAACTCCAAATATGTGTGACCATTACTTATGGAAACAATGAGAAATCTTATGCTAAAAATATTGTCCTATAAAATAGCAAAATTTTATGTGCCATCTCACGATATTTTGTGCTTGAGCAATATCTAGTAAAGGAGAAAAGTGGTGTGTGATTCTGCGAGCACCATGTGTGCTCCTCAAAATTTTAAGGACCTGCATGTTCTTTGACTTGTATATCTCACACAAGCAAAATACATAAATGAGAACCTAACAGCTGTGTTGTACAGTATCGATGGTAGGTGATAGCTCTTTACTACTAGGTAAAGACTTCAAGTCGTTCAATGTCAGCTGTTTGTCAGTCCTTCAGTAGCTAGTAATTGAGTAGCCATAGAGTTTTGCTGCTATCCAAGAGTTAGCTAACAGTGGGACGCCTCATTAATGGCGCAAGTTCACCAAACATAATAAATCTGTCACGGATCCTCTGTTTTTCAGCATTATGAATTTACGAACTAGTAAAGGTGACAAAGATGGGACTTTGGAGTATTTGATATCGTTGGGAGTTCTTGCTGGACGACCCATGTTATTGGAGTTGAAGATTGAGGCTATCTCTTGCTTCTAATTTTCAGTGGTCCGCTTTTGCAAGTCTATAGACAGTGTAACTTATAAGTATAAATTGACCTTGAAAACATTAGCAAATTACTATTGCTATAGTTCTTTAATTACTATTGCTATAGTTCTTTTAACTTTTTAGTTAGTATGAGTATTTGGATCTAGAGCTGATGACAAAGGTTTATTGCTAAATGAGATGTGGGGTGTGATGCTTTAATTAAAACCAGAGGTAAAACCCCCAACTACAAGCAATACCTGATGCACCTACCGACTTCAATATTTTCATTCAATGAAGCACAGCTTGGGGTTGTGTCACAGCACATAGAAAGGCCACGAGGCATTTCTAATGGTACAAGTACGAAACTATGTTATCATCCATATTTTCCTCCTTGTATTGGCCCAATATCTCATTAAAGCTTTCTGCATTTGACACAACTTGAAAGGTTGTTTCTTCTTAAATTATACCCTTGAGTTTTTTCTTCATGGGATTGCTAGTACGTGCTAATTAGTCGGCATGACAAGTCCTCCCTATTAATTTGATGAATTCTATTAATTAATTCCCGTGAGACTATATATGAATTAATCCAGGTTTAAAATGAAGCCCTATTAATTAGAGTTTGAATTCAGCCTCACGGCAGTTTTCTTTTGTGATAGAGGGTAAGAGAAAACTACGTACTATTACTAGTAATTATTATTTTCGTCTTTTATTTATGTAAAAAAACTCTAGTCTATTCTTAGTCTATTCTTATACAATGAGACGAGTTTTTAATAAATATATTTTTATATCTTTAATCATAAAATTTTTTTCTTTTTAAAATAATCGAGTTTCCAATCCATCATTTTATTAATTTTTCTATTTAAATTAACAAAATTAGTTTCAATATAACTTAATATTATGCTAAAAATAGCTGTAAACTCTCTCTCTTTCTGTATATAAAAAGTACGTGACAAATAAAATTATTTAAAAAAAAAATCATAAGGAAGCAGATTGAATCATATCTCTCCCCTCTCTTCTCTTTCTCTCTCTAGTGACCCTTCTCCTCCTCACTGAGATTGTTATTTTCAGTTTATATTAAGTTAAGTGTACGACTAGTTATGTTAATTTGAACAAATAATAATAATAATAATAATAACAAAATGAGAATTCAATCATTTTAAGCCACTTTCTTATTTATTCATTAATTATTTTTAGGCTGCTTTTTCAACAGTGCAGGCTAGTTGAATTTCCTTAGCACATGTTAGTGTTACTATCAGTTTTGGCATGCAGTTCATGGAGAAAATCAAACTCAAATGTAGAAGACTTACTCGAACAAACAATTAACCAAATTTATATAAATATAAATTGATGTGCATCTTAATTTCAAACATGACAATATGGTATCTCAGATTAAAAAACACCAAAGGAAATACAATTAACACGAGGTAAAGTAGACGACAGACTCACACAACTAACTTTAACTGCGAAAAAAACTAAAAGTAGTACGTAGTATTAAACAACACTACGGAGCTGAAACTGAAAGGCAACATTTCAAGGGTAAGGAAGAACCCCAGTTCCGCTTCCACCACCAACGCCACCACCTACTCCACCACCAACACCCCCACCCACACCGCTGCCACCCCCAACACCACCACCAACACCACCCAAGCCTCCGATACCACCACCTAAGCCTCCAATACCACCGCCCAAGCCACCCAAGCCACCTCCACCACCTAGTCCACCAAACCCACCGTTTAAAGGAGCGACTCCACCAACCCCCTACGCCACCAAATGGGAGACCACCAGCACCAATTCCAGAAAAGCCACCAACACCACCATATGTTACAAAATTCTTCTGGTCACTGAGACCAGCATCACTAGGCACATTCTTGGTGCTAGGAACATGCATGTTTTTGTCACTAGGCACTTCTCTTGCACTAGCGTGCGCTGCTACTAAAGCAACCACTAGCAAAACAGAAACATAACACCTAGCCATCTCTCTCTCTATCTCTCTCTATGTCTATATCTTTGAATCTTTTTTCTTAATACCCCAATGCTTGTTGGGTTCTTCTTTTTAAAGGCGAAATGAGCGGTAGGGGCAGTTGAGGGTAGTCAATGGAGTTAAATGCAAGTTCAGAGTTTTGAGCTCTCAAAATTTAGTTATTCTGAGTGTCACTCTAAAGGCTTTTTTGGTTATATATGGATGCCAAAATAAGAATGTTAGAACATCTACAATTATGATGTTTACCTTTAGCTATTATTTTTAATATAAATAGAGAATATCATTAATTATATAGATTGAAGATCAATATCTTCTCCAATGTTATTTTTTACTTTAACTATTTATTTTGATAAAATCTATAAAACCCAAAAAAGACTATTGGTGAAAAGTCTCAGTGTTATAGAAAATAATAATTTTCATTAATGGAATATAAAATAAAAAGTCATTTAGATTCTTTAGTATTGGAGAGCCAAAGACACTTTGTATCTTAATTTTAAAGATAGAGATTGTGATAAAAAAACATTGGAGATGAAATTTGAGTCAAACTTCTTTATTATAAAGAAAAATCTTAATATAAAGAGACCATTGAAGATGCTCTTAGGCATCTCTCTCTCTCTCTATATATATATAAAAGGAATAAAATCAAGAGAAAAGGAGCCATCTAATGATAAAGAAAAAATTACAAAATAAAAACAGTAAAACAAGATTTTTTTTTTGTCTATCTATTTTTTATTTACTTAAACTATAATTTTTTAAAAAATTATTTCAATTCAAAAATTTAAACTTTAAGATATATTCTAAAAATAATTTTATATTACTTTTTAATATAAATCGTGTAACAAAATGATTAACTTTTTTGAATTACGAATATAAAAATCTATACACCCGAAAACATTATTCATTCTTTTTGAGAGCTTAACTTATTAAATGTGTTTTGATAATACGATACTGCATATATTTTTTTAAAAAATACGTTTGAATTATTTAAATATTTTTTATATTTTTAACATCTAACATATTAAAATCATCTAAAATGTACATGAAAAAAATATCAATTGATATTTTTTCAATGCAATGTATATTAAAAAAAAAAAAAAAAAAACACTTTCAAACCTTATAAAAGGCATTAACAAATATAGTTTGAGAGATGGCTTAAGCGACTTGATTAAGCTAATAAACACAATTACAAGGAAATCAATAATGTAGTTAATTTAACCGAGCACAGATGTGTACTCTTGCTGGCATAGGGTTTACCAGTAAGATGGATGGCGGATTGTGACACATGGTTTTGGTGCCAAGGTCGTCTTACGACAAGAGAAAATTTCACGACCGTCCAATAATGACATCTGGTTGGATGGCAGGTACTCATCACAAATGATCTTTTATTACCTTGATGTAAGGTTTGAAGGACATCAAGTATTTTTTTATTTTTATTTTTCTTCTTTTCCACCTTCTCGTCCTCTCTCTATACGTGAACTATGGTATGATAACTATTAACTAGTAGTCTGGTACTGCTTAGCCATTTTCCATGACATGAATATGGAAGCTCTGATTGTTAATTAATATATATATATATATATATATATATATATATAGGTTTGAAGGACATCAAGTATTTTTTTATTTTTATTTTTCTTCTTTTCCACCTTCTCGTCCTCTCTCTATACGTGAACTATGGTATGATAACTATTAACTAGTAGTCTGGTACTGCTTAGCCATTTTCCATGACATGAATATGGAAGCTCTGATTGTTAATTAATTAATTAATTAATTAATTAATTAATTATATATATATATATAATTGGTTTTTAAGAGATATTAATTAATGGGAAGTATTTAGACACTGATTATAAGAAGGAAACAATTACTTTTAGGCTAATCAGAGGGAGAACCGTACCAAAACTATGACAAATTAAAAATAGGAGCTGAGGGCATGTTGCTCAAAATAAAGCGCAGATTTCTGTTTCTTAATTTATCACTATCTATTTGGACTTCAGCTATTAACATATCTGTCACTCAATTGGCACCTTACTGATCTCTTTTATTTGTTCAAAAAACCTCCTCACACATTTTAACGACTCTAGTACGAAGTTAATGGTTGTAAAAAACAATGATTCTTTTTAAGACCACCAAAAAGACTATTAATCCTACAACAAGCACTTCCGTGCACAATGGTAAAGGGTTTCTGTTTGATACCAGCAACAATATAGACAACACCAGCCTTTTTAATGCTAAGGGCGGCAACAATGCCCAAGTTCTTCAGGCTGGCAGTGGTAGGATGCGGCCTACCTAGAACAACCACTACTGAAAAAATAGGGTTTAGCGATAGATACAAAAACCATTGCTAAAACCATTAAATAGCGATGGTTTTAAAAAAATCGTCGCTAATACTCTTTCAAAAATGTGTTTTTGGTAACGGTTTGTAAACCGTCGGTAACTTGATCACATATGATTGTTTTTAGTGATAATTTATATAAACCATTGCTAAATAGGGTAATGCCTCTAGAATTAGCAAGGGTTTACCTAAACCGTTGCTAATTCCAAAAATCTAGTTTTTAGCGACGTTTGTGCAAAACCCTTGCTAAAAAATCTTTATTATGATTGAATTCAGCGATGAGTACTAAAAATCATCGCTAAATGTAACAAGGTCCCAAGTTAATTTAAGAATGGGAATTGGCGATGGTTTTTTGGATGAAAACCGTTGCTAAATAACAAAATTAGCGAATTTTTTACTATTCGAGGGAAAATGGTCAAATTTAAAATTTTTAAGTTATTTAGCGACGGTATAAAACCATCGTTAAAAAATTGAATATCTAAAAGCTATTGCTCAAAAATTTTTTCCCCATTTCTTCTTTCTTTCTCTTCTTTTAGTAGTCTGCAGCTCCACCATTTTCTTCCACATTTCCCCTCCAATCTTAGCTACAACTCCCTCCAATCTTAACTACAACCAAATCTCCTCCTTTCTCTTCTTTTCTTCTTCCCCTCCATCTTTTCCCATTTTCTTCCTTTTTCTCTCTTTTCCTCTTCCTCCTTCCTTCCCTCCTTATCCAATCACCGTGCAATGGCAATGGCAACAGACTCCTCCACCTTTTCACCTTCGGTTGGTAACCTCATTCTCTATTCCTCCATTTGTGTAATTGGTAACTAAATTAAGTCTTTTTTTTCTTTTTTCATTAATTTTTTATGTATTGTTTAATTATTATTTAGTTTAATTTAGTTAGTTTTTATATTTAATTTGTTAGTTGTTAGTTAAAATAATTTTGTGTTAAAAAATCAACTAAGTGTTAGCTTATTTAATTATGTTATTTAATTAATTATTTGTTAATTGTTAGTTGGTTTAATGAATTTAGTTTGTTTTTATAGTTAATTTGTTAGTTGTTAATTAAATTAATTAGTTATTTATAAATTTAATTAACGATTAGTTTATTTAATAATGTGTTAATTAGTATTATTAAAGTTGTTAATTATATAAAGTTTGTTTATTGGTAATTAAATACTTTAATTGTTTTCAAAATTTAATTGGTGTTAGTTTAATTATTTATGTGTTAATTATATTAATTTTATTTTTGATAAATAATATTATTTAATATTTTTTAGAGCTTAATATTTTGTTACTTTAATTAAATAGGGATGTGTAATTAAGTTATGTATATGTTAACTTAATTGTTAAATAAATTATTTAAAAATTGATTAAAATATTGAGTTTGTTTTAGTTTAATTAATTTGGTAGATACTTAAGTTTTTTAGTTTTTAAAATAAGTATATTAGTTTTTAATTAAATTAGTTATATTTTGTTAAAAAAAATACATATTAGTTTAAACAATTTCATAGTTAATTAGTTTTTTTTTTTTTTTTTTGTGGATTCAAAGGAGAGACACGAGATCTAAATAGAATAATTCATGCTACACATTCTAGGAGTTGCAACGCCACAAATATCTTCTAAGAGAAGTTTAGCACAACCCAAAGGAGGTGTTACCTAATAAAAAATACCAATTGGGAGGATATAAGCATGGGAAGCAAGCCAATCCATCGCACGATTGGTCTCTCTAAAGGCATGAGAGACACGGACTATCCAATCTCACTAAAGTAGCTTACGAACACCGTGAATTAACCGATAATGCATTCCACCACACCCATCAATATTCTCGCAACAATTGGACAACTACCATAGAGTTAGTTTTAAGTTGAATTTTTTTAAATCCTAGATTCCAAGTTAACTCTAAGCCAATAAAGATTTTCCATAACTCTGCTGACCATAATAGAGCAAACTCTTGTATGATAAGAGAACCCATAAACCTAACTACCCGCATCACCTTAATGAGTCTACCTCGCTATCGAAATTCCTATAGAATTATGGAGCACACCATCCGTATTAAGTTTAATCTAACCTCATTAGGGTCCGGTCCAACCAATTAGAGTTTAATGCTTGCTAACATTTGGTCTTGTCGAAACAGCTTACCATCTCTATGCTAGAAGCTATTTGACATGTGTAAGAGAAAATCACATCAAGGGGCTAGGTAGGATACACAAAATCCTCCTCAAAAAGCTTTTTATTACGCTATGACAACAACATCCAACAACAAGTAACAAACCGAGTGCTCCAAGAAACCGCTCTAGAAGTAGGCTTTTAATGCACTTAAGATTAGACCAAAACCAATCTTAGGTAGTTAAGCCAAAGAAGTTATAATTCACTCGTGCCGTACTATAAGACCTCCAAATGGAATTAGCTACTCGAACAATCTCTAAGAACATGAAAAATTATTTCGGAGACAACATTACAAAATGGACAAGAAGATTCTATAGAAATTCCCTATGGAGTCGCTACTCATTGGTCAATAGCCTACCATGAATGGCCACTAACTAAATCCCAATTACCCTTTGATATAGTTGTGTCCGAAACACTAATAGCCATATACGCCGATTTGGTAGAGAAACAACTCGGTGCTAGTGTGACTCCAATAAGGTATATCATTAATAAGCATCGTCCAAATAAG